ATTATAAATTCAACTCTCATGCACATGAGATTTATTCCGAGATATGGACTAAATGATTGTTGGACCATAGACTAATTGAGCCTCTGGTTAAAGTAAATCATAAGAAGCTATTACCAATATCGCCGGCAACCAATGCATCCTGTCATAATGAAGCGAATTATTGGGGAAAAAGAGTTAAAAGAAAGGTCTATAGAGTTTGGAGAATTAAAATGAGACACCTATCTTCAGGATCCAGATACAGATCAGCACAATTATAAAAGAAATAGAACCAATAATTATTGAAAGAATGAGACTGAAGAGGTGTCAATTAGCAACCGGTATGGAAGCTCCTTAAGAATTATGTGAATTAGAACAAAAAGAAAATAAGAAAAAACATAAAAATAAAATAACAATGGGAAGATTAAGAACAAAATAATGAATAAAACAAAGAATTAAATCATGTTCCTTGAGGATGAGTAAGAGGAGAGTGTTTAAATAGGATGGACAAGTGAGAGGTATCGATGATGGGTGATAAACCAGGGAAAATATTTAATGGAGTCACAGAGGAAAAAGACATCTAGAATTATCTCTCTCTAGATGAATATAAGAGATAGTAAAAGAGAGAACCTAGTATATTCCAACCTAGTGAATATATGCTATAATATTTTTGAAGATAATTATCATGAGCTATATAACATTACTCCCACACAGGGTCACATACAGGAAGAAGAAAGGGGGAAAAAATAAGTAATGAGCAAGGTCCTAGTATCTAGAAAAAGGTGGGTGTGGGGCCTAAATTATAAGAACCAAGGGAAAAACACAGGTTGTATTGTAGTAAATAACGCCAGGAAGAAATAGATCTAGCATTTGATAGGGTTACGACAGTAGGGAAGAAGCCCAGACCAGGACGGAATATACCAGTAAGATATTATAAAAAAGATAAAGATCAATTAATTATACCCAAAATTAAGACTATATAATGAATGCCTTTGGGGAAGGTGAGATGGAATTGAAGGGAGGAAGCTTTTGAAAGCCCTTATGTTGTAATTATACATCAAGAAGAAAAGATGATACTCAGTGTTCCAACTATAGACACGAATATCCCTCATTAAATATAGATTACTAACTTTTATAATGCAAAAGTTCATCAGGCTACCGGAATGGAGGGTCTTTAATGTCGGAATTGTGATATTTATATAGATCAAGTGGGTTTTGTCCTGGGGAGGGAAGGAGAGACAGATGGATAAGAGTGCTTACTATCTTATTCAAGAAAAGTAAGAAAGACACACAAAACACCCATGTTGTTACTAACTCTCAGTTGAGGCCGGAAAAAGCTTTCGATACGAGTAGATATAGGGATATATGTTGGAGACATTGGAGGCTTTGGGGATGGGACCCAGAATGAGAGAAATGGATAAGAAAACTGTACCGTAAACTCTCAGCAGCAATAAATGGTTAATATGGGGAAATGTCCCAAGAGTATATTGTGATGCATAATGGGATCAAGACAAGTAAATGTTCCACTTTCTACCATTACACACACACTGTTTGTCCCTGTCCTTTTAGAATCACTTTTGACTACTATAAGTAAATAATATAGATTAATATGGAAGTAAGGATAGGAGAGAACGGAGCATAAGATGGCAGCTTATGCGGATAGACATTAGTTGTTCAATATGGTCAAACCTAGGATAACCATGTCGAACTTAATTAAAACCATTAAAAGGAATATGGTGAGCGTATCGAATTTTAAAAATAAATCCAACAAAAATGAAATCTTTTTAATCTATCAAATGGTAAACCTGCTGAACAAAGAGAAAGTTATTCTACAAGAAAGATGTTCCCATTTTAATATGGAAGGAAAGAGAACTAAAATATTTTGGGAATAAATCTAACTGTACACACACACACACACAACAAAATGTAATAAAGCAAATTTATATCCCATTATTGAATGAGATTAAGGGGTAAGTGAGAAAAGCGGGTATAGGAATTCTATCCTTGGATAGGACAAATAAACTGGATAAAAACTGGTAATTGTTCCAAAAATCTTGTATAAATTTCATATGATACCAAAAAGATCCCAGGAATAATATTTTAAAAATAATTAAAAATATATTAAATATAGATACATCTGGGGAATAAAAAACCGAGGATAAGTTATTAAGTATTAAAGATAAAGAGAATGGAGGATTGGGGGTACCAGATATGAAGAGATATAATAATTCTGTTATGATGGCACAAATTTTGATTGGACACATAATGCACTTGGGAAAAGTTGGGTGCAAATAGAAAACACATTAAGTGAGACACAATTGAGTAAGATAGTTTGGATACTACCACCCAATATTGAGGACTGGTAAAATAGTATAAGTTCGTATACAAGAAATGTATTAAAAATATGGGATGCAGTACAAACACAAATTGGGAATTTTAATTCCATGTTAAAATGCCAATAAGTGGTCCACAAAGTTTTTTTCAACCAGGGAATGAAAGCATGTGTCAGGGCTCCCGGGTATGACCAGAGGTGTGTGACTGATGCAGGGAAACGCAGACTTCAGATATGTTATAAACAAGATAATTTTTTAACACTAACAATACAAACATAAAACGCAGGGCAATACTAAAACATAACACAGTTCAAACAAACCAAACCAACCACCCACAGATGACAGTACATACAAATGCAAGCGTCGTCAGGAGCAGGCCGGGTCAATATCAATCGGGGGCAGGTTAGGTACAGGGGGAGCAGCGGAGAATGGTCGGGGTCACAAGCCAGGTTCAGCAGGTAGCGGGCAGCGTTGGTACAGAGGGTCAGGCAGAGGAGTATGGTCAGACAAGCCAGGGATCAGGAGCAGGAGAATGGTCAGACAAAGCCAGGGATCAGAGCAGGGTCAGCAATGAATCAGACAGGAACAGGAACAGGGAGCAGGAACAGGATACAGGGCCCAGGAGAAACACACACCAAGGCAGAGTCTGCAGGTCTGGCCATCCCTTAAATTACACCAGTATATAATCAGTTCCAGGTGTTTGACTGGCTGCAAGGTTGAGTCTCTGATTGCTGGGAGCACCCGCTGGCCAGCCCTGGTACTGCAGCTCATAAGGCAGGTGAGTCCCACCATTGCTGGCCAGTCCATTTCCTGACAGTACCCCCCCCTCAAGAGCGGCCTCAGGACGCTCCAAACAGTCCTAGCTGGGAAAAATGTTCCACGCCGCGGGTCTGGTAACTGGCGGGATATCAAAGACTGGCACACCGGGCAGGACTCCGGGCAGCGGCACACCGAGCAGGACTCCGGGCATCGGCACATCGGGCTGGACTCCGGGCAGCGGCCAACACACCGGGCTGGACTCCGGGCAGAGGCACATCGGGCTGGACTCCGGGCAGAGGCACATCGGGCTGGACTCCGGGGCAGAGGCACATCGGATTACCAGGCGAAGCAGCAGGCACCGGGCCACCAGGCGGAGCAGCAGGCACTGGGCCACCAGGTGAGCGGCAGGCAACCGGGCCACCGGGCGGAGCGGCAGGCACCGGGCCACCGGGCGGAGCGGCAGGCACCGGGCCCCCGGGCGGGGCGACAGGCACCGGGCCCCCGGGCGGGGCGACAGGCCACCGGGCCCCCGGCGGGGCGACAGGCACCGGGCCCCCAGGCGGGGCGACAGGCATCGGGCCCCCAGGCGGGGCAACAGGCATCGGACCCCCAGGCAGAGCGGCAGGAGCGGGCCCCCAGGAGGGGCGACAGGCATCAGGCCCCCAGTCGGAGCGGCAGGTGCCGGGCCCCCAGGAGGGGCGACAGGCATCGGGCCCCCAGGCGGGGCGACAGGCATTGGGCCCCCAGGCGGGGCAACAGGCATCGGACCCCCAGGCGGAGCGGCAGGAGCCGGGCCCCCAGAGGGGCGACAGGCATCAGGCCCCCCAGTCGGAGCGGCGGGTGCCGGGCCCCCAGGAGGGGCGACAGGCATCGGGCCCCCAGGCGGAGCGGCGGGCACCGGGGCCCCCAGGCGGGGCGACAGGCATCGGGCCCCCCAGGAGGGGCGGCGGGCGCTGGGCCCCAGGAGGGGTGACAGGCATCGGGCCCCCAGGAGGGGCGACAGGCATCGGGCCCCCAGGAGGGGCGACAGGCACCAGACCCCCAGGCAGGGCGACAGGCATCGGGCCCCCAGGAGGGGCGGCGGGCGCTGGGCCCCCAGGAGGGGCGACAGGCATCGGGCCCCCAGGAGGGGTGATGGGCATCGGGCCCCCAGGAGGGGCGACAGGCGCCGGACCCCCAGGCGGAGCGACAGGTCTCAGGCCCCCAGGCGGAGCGACAGGTTCAGGCCCCCAGGCAGAGCGACAGGTCTCAGGCCCCCAGGCGGAGCGACAGGTCTCAGGCCCCCAGGCGGAGCGACAGGTCTCAGGCCCCCAGGCGGAGCGACAGGTCTCAGGCCCCCAGGCGGAGCGGCGAGCGCCGGACCCCCAGGCGGAGCGACAGGTCTCGGGCCCCCAGGCGGAGCGGCGGGCACCGAGTCACCAGGCACGACAGTGGGCTCCGAGTCAACTGGCATGACCGCTGGCACTGGGTCAGACATTGGATCGTCTGGCTGGACAGCGGGCATCGGGTCACCAGGCATCAGGTCATTTGGCTCAACAGCGGGCACCGCGTCATCTGGCAAGGCAGTGGGCTCCGAGTCAACTGGTATGACCGCGGGCACTGGGTCAGACATTGGATCGTCTGGCTGGACAGCGGGCATCGGGTCACCAGGCATCAGGTCATTTGGCTCAACAGCGGGCACCGCGTCATCTGGCAAGACAGTGGGCACCAAGTCACCAGGCACGACAGTGGGCTCTGAGTCAATTGGCACGACAGCGGGCACCAGGTCATCAGGTACCGGATTGTCTGGCTCGACAGCGGGCATCGGGTCATCAGGTATGACAGTGGGCACTGGATCACCAGGCATCAGGTTATTTGGCTTGCCAGCGGGCACCGCGTCATCTGGCAAGGCAGTGGGCACCGGGTCACCAGGCATTGGATCGTCTGGCTCGACAGCGGGCATCGGGTCACCAGGTATGACAGCGGGCACTGGTCACCAGGCATCAGGTCATTTGGCTCGCCAGCGGGCACCGCGTCATCTGGCAAGGCAGTGGGCACCGAGTCACCAGGTACGACAGCGGGCTCTGAGTCAATTGGCACGACAGCGGGTACCGGATCAGGTACCGGATCATCTGGGATCAACAGCGGGCATCGAGTCAACTGGCCTAATAGGATCATCAGGCTGGATCAGTCATCAGGCTGAGTGGAGGCATCAGGCTGAGTAGAGGCATCGGGCTGAGTAGAGGTATCGGGCTGAGTAGAGGCATCGGGCTGAGTAGAGGCATCAGGCCGAAGACAGGCATCAGGCCGAAGACAGGCATCAGGCCGAAGACAAGCATCAGGCCGAAGACAAGCATCAGGCCGAAGACAGGCATCAGACCAAAGACAGGCATCAGGCTGGGTACAGGCATCAGACTCGGTACAGGCATCAGACTGGGTACAGACCTCAGGCTGAAGTGCGGGTGCCGGGGGCACCAGGCTGAACCACGGAAGGCAGGTTCTCAGACGGCAGGCTCACCGGTTTGGATACTGGCAGGATGGTACTGGTTGGAAAGAATTTTCGCTTTTTCTGGTTTTTAACTACTGGAGCACTGCAAGTAAACGCAGGTCTGCAAACAAATGGAGCAGCTGGAGACAGAGAAGAGCTGGAGGATGGAACAGAGGAGGGAGCAGTTGCTACAGAGGGCTTTTTTACAGGGTTTAATGGCAGGATAGGTGCAGCGAGTGGGAACAGGGTACTGACATGTGGTAGATAGCAGGGCAGGAGGAGCTGTTGGGGAATGCAGGAATAGAGCTTTGAGGAAATAGATTAGAAGCAGGACTGGGTTTTTTGTAAGCTGACTGAGGCTGGGTGTAACAAGTCTGTCCATGTCTGCAGTATGGGTTGAACAAAGCTGAGCTTACACAAAGCCTGTCTGACCAAAGACTGCACCGCGTTTATACAATCTCTTAGTATCTGTGGTGAACATGCAGCATAATGCTCCAAGAAGCAATCCACATCATCCTCTAATAACCATACCCAGGGACTCTACCTGGTCGGCACTAAATGGCGGCAAAAATTCATCCCTGCATTCGGGGGTACCAGATGAAACCGACTCCGCATAAATCTGAATCAATGGCTGCACCTCAGAGAATTCTGTGCCCTGATCTACTAGAACATGAGCGAGCCGTATACATTCTAGCAGTTCATCCCGGGGATACTCCTTCAGAGTTTGATAAGCATACTCTCTGTCATCAGACACTAGCAGATATAAATACACAACCTCATCAAGATTCATCCTTCCCATCAACAAACCAAGATGGCTTCCCTGTGCAGCCACTTCTGGTCAGGATTGGCCTTGGTGTAATGTCAGGGCTCCCGGGTATGACCAGAGGTATGTGACTGACGCAGGGAAACGCAGACTTCAGATATGTTATAAACAAGATAATTTATTAACACTAACAATACAAACATAAATGCAGTGCAATACTAAAACATAACACAGTGCAAACAAACCAAACCAACCACCCACAGATGACAGTACATACAATGCAAGCGTCGTCAGGCAGGCCGGGTCAATATCAATCGGGCAGGTAGGTACAGGGGGAGCAAGCGGAGAATGGTCGGGGTCACAAGCCAGGTTCAGCAGGTAGCGGGCAGCGTGGTACAGAGGGTCAGGCAGAGGAGAATGGTCAGACAAGCCAGGGATCAGGAGCAGGAGAATGGTCAGACAAAGCCAGGGATCAGAGCAAGGTCAGCAACGAATCAGACAGGAACAGGAACAGGGTGCAGGAACAGGATACAGGGCCCAGGAGAAACACACACCAAGGCAGAGTCTGCAGGTCTGGCCATCCCTTAAATACACCAGTATAATCAGTTCCAGGTGTTTGACTGGCTGCAAGGTTGAGTCTCTGATTGCTGGGAGCACCCGCTGGCCAGCCCTGGTACTGCAGCTCATAAGGCAGGTGAGTCCCACCATTGCTGGCCAGTCCATTCCTGACAGCATGTCGGGGAGGTGGTTAAAAAAGGAAGACGCACAATTAAGGGATATAATGAAAGGGGAGGAAATATATACATTCACGTAATTGAAAATAAGAGAGTTATTCACTAGATTTGATGAGTGGCATTATTTTCAGTTAAAACATTTTGTTGGGAAGCTCCCAAAGCCTCTAAGAACAAAGGATAAATGGAATCCATTTGGAATCCATTTGAGCACTTTATGAATACACGGGGGAGATGGGAAACATGGGACTTCGAGACGGGGCGGACTGACCATTTGGAAACTCGGGTACTGTCCACGGGCCCGGGGTCAGTAGGGGCCCCATGAGATGCCCCTGGTACTTTTTTCATAGGCTTTTTTGAGTTTGGGCAAGGACACAGGGGCCCCATGATCCCCTATTGCCCTATTGCCTGGGGGCCCCATGAGTTGTCAGTCCGCCCCTGCATCGAGAGTATATAACATTTTTACTAGATTATTAATGGATACAACTCCTCCATATATAGAGAAATGGGGAAAAGAATTGGGAGTGAAAATAGAAGAGGAAAAGCAAAAGAAAACATATAGAATCACACACGGGAATGTAAACATGTGGAAATGAATTACAAATTTTTGGCAAGTTGGTATATCACTCCTAATATAGCACATAAGTGTAGATAATTCACCTTTGTGTTGGCGTGGATGTGGGGAAAGGGGCACAATGTTACACATATGGTAGGAATGTTTTAAATGAAAAGAGTATTGGGAAAAATAATTCACAAGATTCAGAAGATAACTGAGATTAAAATTCCAAAAGATCCAGTAATATGTCTCTTCCATGGTACTATGTTTTCAGTAGAAAAATATAAAATCTCTGGCTTATTATATTATTTAAATGCAGCAAAAAGTTTAATACCTAAATTTTGGAGGGAACAAGAAGCGCCAAAAATAAAAGATTGGTTGGGAAGAGTAAATCAGATATACAGAATGGAGGAACTTTACCATATAGACGAGGATACAATGGAAATCTTCCTGAAGAGATGGGAAAAATGTGAGGTGTATAGAAGATCAAAGTAAATTATAGTACCCTGAAATAGAAAGATGAGGAGAAACAAACAATCCAGAAAATAAGTCAAAAGTACCGTAAAATAATAGTGCGTAAGATTCCCAGAAAAAAGTATAATAGAGTGAGGAACGGGGGGGGGGGGGGGGACTGAGGGGAAAAGGGAATGGGGAGGATCAGGTGAGGGGGGGGGGGGATGGAATTGGGGAAGGGGTATGGAAAATTTAGACTAGTGTATGTATATGTTAAAACAATTTTCATTGGATATATAAATATGTTTTCTCTTTTTTTAGTGAATGTAACTTTGAAAATGGTAAAATCAATAAAATATATATTAAAAAAAAAAAAAACACTGGTTCTCTCTGACACTGGTATTAGAACACTATTCTGGTGCTGTCTTGTGAAGATGACACTGTTTCTGGCTGACACTGGTATTAAAACACTGTACTGGTGCTGGATGGTGATCAGGGCATTGGTTGTGATTAAAACCAGTACCTGATTTTCCCGGTGCTAGTGTGGCTGGTGATCAGGACATGGTTGCTGGCTTACACTGTTACTAGAACAGTGGTACTGGTGCTGTCTGGTGATCAGGAAACTAGTTCTGGATAATCCTGGTACTTGAGCACTGGTACTGGTGTGGCTAGCAATCAGGACACAGGTGCTGACTGCCATTGTTATAAGAATAGTTGTACTGGTGCTGTCTAGTGATCAGGACACTGATTCTGACTGACAGTTATATTAGAACACTGGTACTAGTGTTGGCTGGTTATCAGGGCACTGGTGGTTGCTGGCACTTGGTGCTAAAGCACTGGTGTTGGCTGGCATTCAGGACACTGGTGCTGCCTGACACTAGTGATAAAACATTGGTGCTGGTGCTTGCTGGTGTTTCTGGCTGACACTGGTATTGGAACACTGGTGCTGGTGCTGTTTTGTGGGCAGGACACTGATATTACAACACTGGTAATAGTGCTCACTGGCAATCAGGGCACTAGCACTGGCTGGCACTGATTTTAGAACACTAGTACTGGTTCTTTGAAAAAGAAAGGAAGGCGCCTCTAAGTGCAGTATTGACTATTTATTAGTAAACAATAGGTAAATTGCACTTACAAGATACATAGTTAAAAAGACTCATCGTGTGGTATAATAAAATCCAGGTGGGACATCCAGCCATTCAGCAGCAAACTTTGTCTATAGGATCAGGACGTAGAGCCCAGGATGTGCCTGTGCATCAAACGTTTTGATGCACAGGCACATCCTGGGCTCTACTTCCTGATCCTATAGTAATATATTACTATTATTATATATAATACTGTATATTACTGTATAGTAATAAAATTGTCAATACTGCACTTAGAGGTCCCTTCCTTTCTTTTTCATGTTACTGCATTAGAGCCTTGCTTCCACTTTAAGAAGAGTTGCCTCAGTGTTACTGTTCCCATCCATCCATCCCTGATATTCCTCTGGCACCTTTATCCTACAGCTACAGGGGTTGGGCTCTAACAAGCGCGCCTTATATAATATACATTTTATGGTACTGGTTCTTGCTGGTGATCAGGACTCTGATACTGGCTGACACTAATATTAAAACAATGGTACCTTTTTTTGCTGGCAATCAGGACACTGGTGCTGGATGACATTGGTATTAGAAAACTGTGCTGGGGCTGGCTGGTGATCACCACACTGTTGCTGCATGACACTGTATTGCTCTTGGAGGAAATACATACGAGTACATTCTCCTAAAATAATTGGAGAGTGGACCAGCCATTTTTATACAGAGGCAGGTCTGCAAGTGGTTAATATCCCCAGAGGTAGTTACAGTATCAATCACATAATCTAGCAATGTATTTATCATTCAATCAAAACTTCCAGTGAGATAATTCTCCTCAACTGTGATGACTCGTCCAATATCAATAAATCATGGTGTCTTTGTCCAATTTCAATAAATCATGGTGTCTCTCCAGGTCAGTTTCTGCTTGTCTGCTACAATCAGGTGCTCACAACTTGACACTTTAATAACTGGTTACAGGAAAGATGAGAAGCAACACTAATGTTTCTAAAATTGCATACTCAGTGTCTTCTTATGCTTAAGCTTAAATACCATTCACTGTCACCCTCCATCTGGGAAACTTCTGGAGTACACAGGATGGTTTTCACAGGCCAAAAAGGGAAGAACAAACTGAGGCCTATTAAGGAAGCTTTAGCCAGTGCCTCCAAGATGACTGTGAAG